TAAATTTGCAACATTTTTTTAAATTAATTTATCTATTGTAACTAACCGGATAACTTAATGTATATTCATTTTTTGTCTTATCTAATTCCCCAGGGTAAGTGGGACTAAAATTCATATTGTATTAATAACATTGATCATTAAACAGAATTAGATAAAAATGAAGGACACAATAAATACCCAAAAATTTTATAAATTGAAAGAAAAGTTGGTGCAACCTTATTAGAACTAGATAAAGTAAATATATCATATAAATAAATATAAACCATTATAATCAAGTTATTAGAAAAATTTTCATAAATAATTTAAGTGTGAAGTATACCTAACTTCACTATCCTGATAGGTTAATCGCAATTTTGAGAAATCGTTTACTTCGATTGATTTTAATCTCTGAGTTGGACCATCAAAACGCATATTAATTCCATTTGCCGGTAACGAGAGAAATAAATCTGTCATGATTGGAGACTTGTATAATTAAGTTTAAAATAAATTTTACGTAAATATACAACTTTTTCCTTAAAAAAAAAACGGGAAATCATATCCGATCAATTAAATTAACACCTCATCAGTATATTTCAAGTCTACAGAAGGAATGACTCTAGATTGTTCTCTCAAAAAATTTATAATGTCCCATACCGAAGATCCTGAAGAAACAACAGAATAAGTGTAATTTTAGTGATCTGATCAAAAAATAGACATGTTACTGAAGCTTGAATTGAGCGTTTAACATACCCAAACGAAACCAGCCAATATTTTTCCCTGGGACCACCGATAAATCAAGCCTCTGTTCACGACGATTTGAGTTATCATGTAAATTGATCATACTAGAAAGCCAATGGATCTAACTATATATGTAACAGCTACTACGTCGTGGATTGAATAGTCAACATAGGCGAGAAATAGTTTATTTAAAATTTGAGAATTTTCAGACAGTTTAAGACGTTTCAAGTTTAAAAATTATGCTGATCAAACGAGTTGTTCTAATTAAACTGTTGTTAAAACAAAGGCAAAAAATATATTTGAGAACGAAAGACACGTAAGTTTAACGCTAAAATAGGTGTGATTGGCCCAGCTCAGTAAATGTATGTTGAAATAATATCACGTTACTAACTGTTATTAATTCCAGTGTATTACAAGTGCGCATGTGTGTGCATAACAGAAACGATAATTAAGCATTTAAGCATGTTTCACATCATTTGCTATATAGAGTGTTAATAGCTGATAGATGTTCTAAAAGGGAATAAATGGAACGTACGTACGTATATACGTATCAGGTATGCAAAAATTCGAAAGCTTGGTACGTATACACATTACATAAATAAGGTTCGTCACATCGTCGCCTTTTGAAGAGATAAAACAACCTCAGAATGATAATGGGATTAGCTATAGAAATATTTCAAGTAGTTGCCTGTTACGTACGTATGTGCGTAGCAGGTTTTTATTTACACGGATCAACCCGAAGTAAAGCAAAACTGTTACTGCTTATGCCAACATCATAACTTTAAATAGTTACGAAAGTCAATAATTTCTACCGCGTCTCTATCTCGTGGCATTAAAAAAACAATTTTATTTATAAAACTTGCTTTAACCCAAACTTAATCTAGCGCTAACCACTACTTTAATACCAATATTTGGAGGCTATAGCAGAGTATAACAATACTACAATAAAAAACCTAAACATCTTGAGTCGTTACGAGACATAAATAAGGTAAATAATATGGTTTTGATATATGCTTTATTCTTTTATACAGTACAGAAATGATGATTGATAGTAGTATCGAAAAACGATAGTATAATGGCGTTGAGTAAGCGGTTTTCCGCATTCGAAGCGATGATACACCAGCGATAATCTGCCCCATTACACTGTCAACAATAATACTATTGCTGAACTGTACAAGTTTATATAACATAACTGATGATTTTTTAGTATATATATATATATATTAATAATGAATCGTGTTTCCATACAGATACAATTCGCAAGGAGGGTAATTAAAACGCTGATGTTGGATATTGACATATTTCAGTACGTTAATTCTACTCGATTGTTCAAAAATGTGTAAATTACACGTAATATGTTGATTTTAAAAGATTTTGCAGGAATAAATCTTAGAAAGATTTATTTTCTGCATATAAAATGCTTTATAGAAAAAACAAGTAAATTTTAGTAATTTGTTGCAATAACGATCCACTAGTTAACGGGTGCAATTGATCTAGAGTCTGATCGGTTTCAGTTAACCGAGGAATACTAAGATTTTTTTTGCTTAAGAAAAAGTCAGCATAAAAAGGTTGAATAAAGATGCTTCAATAAGAAAGGTATGTGCCAAATTTATAGCAAATAGAGATGAAATCTGCTAACTTTATAGGTTTAGAGTGATGCTATCTGAAATAGTATCTCATAATCATTAGAATATGACAGATTACAATATATTAC